GGAGTTTTTTCTTGATTAGTTAATACATATACAGTCCGTTTTAAGGTACACAACTGAAACAAAATATGGAACTGGACAAAATATCCCTTTGACATACAAACACTTAAATTTAAAACTATTTATTTTCTCATACATCCTGCAATGTTTTCACAAAATCTATTCCTTGAAATTATAAATAGATAAAATGACATAGTAAATGATTTATATGGATTTTATGAAATGCTTGAATAATTTTAGGTAAGGAAGTATCGGCAAACTCATTGGCAAAGTTGGAAGATGAATTAATAGCATGTACCTAAACCATTCTGACCACCCACAGCAAATATCTTGTCTTTTACAAATACCAGCCCGTGATTCTTCCTGGCCTCAATCATGGGACACAGCTCAGTCCACCTGAAAAAAAAAAATTTTTTTTTTAGTGTGCTTGTTCACAAGAAGTAAAAGGACTTTTATATGAATAATAAAGGTCTGTCATCTCAATCAATTGCTCATTTACAATGCATGCATGTGTACATACACAAATGTACGGCTAGAAAACAAGTTTAACAGTATTTATGGGTAATTTACTTATAGGTGGAGTAAATAGGGATTTTATACCTGTCAGCTCCAAAAGGAGGTAAGAAACAGAGGATATCTAAAGACTCTTTGGAAGAAACCCATTTTCTGTGGTCCAAAATAAGTTTCAAGAAGTTAACAAAGAAAGGGAACCAGCAGTTAGTGTAATGGCTATGTCGCTGGACTCCCACGTAGTTGACCGCGGTTCACGTCCCAGACCCGGTGGCTTAAAACTCACGCCGGGCGCGTGTGCGTGCGTGCCCAAGATCCTGAGAGGAGAATGGAGGAGAAGGGATTGCAGCATGACCATCCCCCCTGGGGGGGTGATTTCTCACTTTCTGTCTCTATGTCTCTCTCTCTGTCTGGCGAGCGCACGTGCCCTATAGCGAAAACCTCTCCAAAAAAAAAAAAAAAGTTAACAAAAAAAACACTTAAAAAAAAAAAATTAATTCTAAAAAAAACATCCTGCAATGGTTTGGTTTTTTTTTTTTTAGAATAAAAGGGTATATTTATTTCATTTATAAAAATAATATTCATAGTGATCAAATCCACTAATAGAGGCTTAAAGGAGTTTTTTCTTGATTAGTTAATACATATACAGTCCGTTTTAAGGTACACAACTGAAACAAAATATGGAACTGGACAAAATATCCCTTTGACATACAAACACTTAAATTTAAAACTATTTATTTTCTCATACATCCTGCAATGTTTTCACAAAATCTATTCCTTGAAATTATAAATAGATAAAATGACATAGTAAATGATTTATATGGATTTTATGAAATGCTTGAATAATTTTAGGTAAGGAAGTATCGGCAAACTCATTGGCAAAGTTGGAAGATGAATTAATAGCATGTACCTAAACCATTCTGACCACCCACAGCAAATATCTTGTCTTTTACAAATACCAGCCCGTGATTCTTCCTGGCCTCAATCATGGGACACAGCTCAGTCCACCTGAAAAAAAAAAATTTTTTTTTTAGTGTGCTTGTTCACAAGAAGTAAAAGGACTTTTATATGAATAATAAAGGTCTGTCATCTCAATCAATTGCTCATTTACAATGCATGCATGTGTACATACACAAATGTACGGCTAGAAAACAAGTTTAACAGTATTTATGGGTAATTTACTTATAGGTGGAGTAAATAGGGATTTTATACCTGTCAGCTCCAAAAGGAGGTAAGAAACAGAGGATATCTAAAGACTCTTTGGAAGAAACCCATTTTCTGTGGTCCAAAATAAGTTTCAAGAAGTTAACAAAGAAAGGGAACCAGCAGTTAGTGTAATGGCTATGTCGCTGGACTCCCACGTAGTTGACCGCGGTTCACGTCCCAGACCCGGTGGCTTAAAACTCACGCCGGGCGCGTGTGCGTGCGTGCCCAAGATCCTGAGAGGAGAATGGAGGAGAAGGGATTGCAGCATGACCATCCCCCCTGGGGGGGTGATTTCTCACTTTCTGTCTCTATGTCTCTCTCTCTGTCTGGCGAGCGCACGTGCCCTATAGCGAAAACCTCTCCAAAAAAAAAAAAAAAAAGTTAACAAAGAAGACACTTAAGAAAACATAATTAATTCTATTACCTATGATATTAATTAATATTTATACAGGTGTAAGTTAAACACAATTTATGATGGACTTCAAGCTATCAGCAAATTAGTTGCATCTGTAATTATGCACATGCCCATTTTAAAATCCACTATACCTTAAAAACTTTAGGCAGTTCTTATTAAAAAACTAGTGCTGGGACCAATAGAGTATAATGTTTATGTAGCTGGATACCCATAGAATTGACAACAGTTTGAGTCCCAGACCCAGCAGCTTTAAACTCATGGTGGGCGCAAGTGGGTGAGTGCCCAAAATCCTGAAAGAATGGAGAAGGGATTGAGGCATGGCCATGCCCCCTGGGAAGATGATCTCTGTCTGTCTCTCTACCTCTCTGGTGAGCCAGTGCACGTGCCCTATAGCAAAATATCTCTCAAAAGAAAAAACTAGTTCCATCATTCGGCCACGTTTAGTAACTATCGTGTTGCTGCATTCACAGACACTATCATGAATAATCAAATTGAGAATATAATGATAGATACAAGTGTTGAAAGATACTCACAGGTAGCAGCATCACACACCTATACACAGACAACTGTTTTCTTCTGTCCTGAGATCCGATCCCTTCCGCATGTATTCCCATGACTGACATAAGTGGTTGTGAAGTTAGGCCTGGCACATAGGCGTAGACTCTTAACAGCTAATATGAACCAAAAGACTCCAAATGACAAAAACAATGAAAGGGAGCTACTGATAATTCAGCCTCCAGCAAACAAGCTAGCAGCAGGAGAGGCCAGGCCTTCAGAAGAAGATTCCACATGGCTCCTGCGAACTAGGTATTTCAGGGCACACGAGAAATGAAGATTTTTTTACTGATAATTCAGCCTCCAGCAAACGAGCTAGTGGTAGGGAGCTTCCCCCTCCCCCAGCCTTCTACTCTGTCTCTGTCTCTCCCTGCCTCTGTCTTCCTTTTTTTTTTTTTTGTAATTTTTCCTTTTTACATTTTTTTAAGGCAAAGATTTTCTAATATGAACACTTTAGCAAAATATAAATTTCAAGACAAGTTGGTTTTATTTGTATTCTTTCAATTGGTAAGTAAATGAGCAAAAGTGAAAAAAGGAAAACTGAAACTGTACCTTCATTTGGGAAGAGAATTATTGTTTCTTTAAAAATAGGTGGGACACATAAAAGCATATGACTGATCATATCTTAAAATTAAGCTCATTATTGGGACCAGCACTTGGTATAATGGCCATGTTGCTGGGCTCCCATGTAGTCGACTGTGGTTCGATTTCTGGACCCAGTGGCTTAAACTCACGCCGGGTGCATGAGCGTGCATGCCCAATATCCCAAGAGGAGAAGGAATTACAGTGTGGCCATCCCCCCTGGGGGGTGATTTCTTGCTTTCTGTCTCTCTGTCTCATTGTCTTTTCTGGTAAGCACACACACCCTATAGCAAAAATCTCTCCAGAAAAAAAGAAAAGAAAAAAATTAAGCTCATTGCAATTTTGAAAAAACAATAGTGATGTGGAAGACTTCTATGTTTTTTAGTTGGAAAATATTTTCTAAAGATTAAACCTGAAGCACAAGAGTTTTTGAGCAACTTTGTGGCATAATCTATAAGTTGAACATATTTACCCAATAATGTGTTCTGATAAAGGAAGAACAATGGACAACCTGGCCATATGAACAAATAACTTTTCTTATCAAGGCTCTCTGGATGTATCAACAAAATGTATAAGGAGGCTGTCACCTGTTTTATTTCTTTTTTTTTTGGAGAGGTTTTCGCTATAGGGCGCATGCGCTTGTCAGACAGACAGACAGAGAGAGACACAGAGACAGAAAGCGAGAAAACACCCCCCCAGGGGGGATGGTCATGCCGCAATCCCTTCTCCTCTCGGGATCTTGGGTACACACGCACATGCGCCTGGCGTGAGTTTTAAGCCACCGGGTCCGGGATGCGAACTGTGGTCGACTACATAGGAGTTCAGCCACATAGCCATTACGCTAACAGCTGGTCCCTCACCTGCTTTATTTCTTTTTTGGTCTTTTTTTTTTTTTTTCTGGAGAGGTTTTTCACTATAGGGCGTGTGCACTCGCCAGACAGACAGAGAGAGACACAGAGACAGAAAGCGAGAAAACACCCCCCCAGGGGGGATGGTCATGCCGCAATCCCTTCTCCTCTCGGGATCTTGGGTACACACGCACATGCGCCTGGCGTGAGTTTTAAGCCACCGGGTCCGGGACGTGAACCGCGGTCGACTACATGGGAGTCCAGCGACATAGCCATTATACTAACTGCTGGTTCCCACCTGTTTTATTTCTTAATTAGCTTTAATGTCACTGCTCTCACCACCGTCTTCCTTATTCAATGAATAATATATTTTATCTGCCTACATTAAGTGGGTTTCATCATTAACTATAAGATGAGAAAAACTGGCTAGTCATTTATTTCTTTGGCATTTTACCTCTTAGAAATCAGGTATTTGCTTCCCAGGTGATTTAGAATAATTTTACTTAATAAATGTGAATCCAAACATACTTTAAATAGTATGAACCCAAAGGACATTATACCTAGGAAAAACATGATTTATTAGTGTCATGAATATGTAATACTTCTTATTTAAGAGGCTGGGAGGTAAATAAGTAGAGTAATATTTTGTTTTGCTTTGTTTTTTTTTTTTCAAGAGATTTTTACTATAGGGCATGTGCACTCACTGGAGAGACAGACATAAAGTGAGAAATCACCCCCTGGGCAGATGGCCAGGCTGTAATCTCTTGTCCTCCATTATCCTCTTGGGATCTTGGGCAGGCACGCACATGTACCTGGCATGAGTTTTAAGCAGCCAGGTCTGGTACTCAATCTGCGGTTGACTCTGTGGGAGTCCAGTGACGTAACCAGTACGCCATCTGCTGGTCCCAGAACAGAGTAATATTTTCTATTCAATCATTTCCCCTAGTCCATTCGATTGTCCCAAAGTTTAAAGAACAGACAGGGAAGCTGCCCTGAACTGAATTCAACTCTTAGGAACTAATATTTCTACTTAAAGGCAAAACTTATAATGATAAGTCCTCCCCCAGTTTCCTGACCTCTCAAACAAAAATATTCACAGGCAATTATTAAATAAGCAAGATCAGGAAGAGAGGGGTTCCTGTGGATATAATGTCAAGCCATTCTTTTTTTTCTTAGAGGTTTTTGCTATAGGGTGTGTGTGCTCGCCAGAAAGACAGAGAGAAACAGACAGAAAGTGAGAAATCACCCCCCAAGGGGGATGGCTATATCGCAATTCCTTCCCCTTTGTTCTCCTCTTGGGATCTTGGGCACGCACGCATACACGCCCGGTATGAGTTTAAGTCACAGGGTCCGGGACTCAAACCACAGTCGACTACATGGGAGTCCAGCGACATATCCATTACGCCAACTGCTCATCCCACCATTCTAAATGTGTAAAGGAAGAGTTAATGTTGTAAACATGCCACTGACTCTAGCAACATAAAATTGTATGCATTTTTTTTTTTTAAAGATTTTTGCCATAGAGTGTGTGCATTTGCCAGAGAGAGGAAAAGTGAGAAATCACTACCCAGGGACGATGGCCATACTATAATCCATTCTCCTCTCGGAATCCTGGGGAGACACGCACACATATTCAGTACATTTCCCAAGCTGCTTGAACCTTGGAGTTATGCAACCTGCTGGCCCAGTGTATGTGCATTTTTTTTTTAAGAGAATTTTTTGCTATAGGGTGTGGGTGCTCTCTTGAGAAAGAGAGAGAGAGAGAAAAAAAAAAAAAAACTGAGAAATCATCCCCAGGGGTACTGATCATGCTAAAATTCATTATCCATTCTCCTCTTGGAATTTTAGGCACACATACACACACACACACACACACACACACACACACACACACACACACACACACATATGCCCCAGCATGAGTTTCAAGCTGCCAGGTCCAGGACTTGAACTGTGGTGGGCAATGTGGAAGTCCAGAGCCCCAACCACCATACCACCCTCTGCCTTCCCCCTCCCCCACTGAGTACATTCTTAGTACGAGGACTAAATTTTTTTGTTACGTTTTCTTCTTCCTCTTGACATCTTTTCCCACTGAGCTTACAGAATAAAATTAACTATGAAATAATTTTAAGTTGATACACACGTTTCTGTAGCAGGATCGTAGACTTCACATGAATTAAGTACTCTCCCAGAAACGTTGTTTCCAAGACTTCCACCACAAACATAGATCAGGCCATTGGCTTCCACCATCCCATGGCTGCAGCGCTGAGTCAGCATGCTGGGTTTCGTGTGCCAGCTCTCAGTTCTTGTATCATAGCACTCAAATAAATACAGAGCTGAGTTTCCTGTAAAAGAGGAGGCCCCCATCATGCTTAACTTAGTGCACTGTGTGGGTCTGGAGTGAAACGACTGTACAGTTGAGTCATCAGATATGGGAAGGAAGAATTCAGAGTCTGCAGAATCATTTTTACACCAATTGACTACAACAAAATGTAGAAACAGTTTAGGAGAAAGCTAATAATAGCTCTATTTTTATAGACCTTGGAAAACATTGCAAAGGGATCTGCTGCGAAGACTTATTTATTGGTAATAAAAAGTTAGAAAAGACATTGGTCTGATGTAAAAAAAAATAAAAAAGGAAACATGCCTTTAAGTCTTGTACATGATGGGAAATGCTTAGAGAGCAGAAAAAGCATAGCTAATTACAGAAAGCAAATCTATACCTTAATATAAAAAACGATAATATTCTAAAGCCTTATTTAATATTCTCTAATAGCTACTCTCCAAGATCGTGTGGGTAACCCCTGAAGTCGTGCTAGCCCATTCTTGAATATACTTTGTGTATTTATTCTATATTTTAAGGGTAAAATACATACATATTTTGTAACTTCTGTACATCGTAGGTTAATAAAGAGTTTTAGAGTTTATTCTTTTTTAAGAGTTTTTTTTTTGCCTTGGTTATGTGAGCTTGCTGGAGAGAGACAGACAGACACAAGGAGAGGGAAAGCAAGAAATCAACCACAGGGGGGTGGCCATGCTACATTTCCTTCTCCTCCATTCTCTTCTTGAGATCTTGGGCATGCACACACATGTACTCAGCATGACTTTCAAGCCACCAGGTCTGGGATTCAAACACTGTCGACCATGTGGGAGTCCAGCAATGTAACTGGTATGCTATCTGCTGGTACCAATAAAGAGTTTTAGAGAGCCAAACGTGGCCTGGTGGTTATGGAGGCTGAATCTCATAAAGCTGACCATATGTTTTGAGTTCCAGACATGGTAGCTTAAAAAACACGTTAGGTGTGGGTGTGTATGTGTGCCCAAAATCCCAACAGGAGGGAGAAATGAAAAAAGGATTGTTGTGTGACCATGACCCAGGGTGGATGCTTTCTTGCTTTTCCTCTTTCTCTATATCTCCTGGGTGAACACATGTACCCTCTGGGAAACTGGAAAATAATTATTTTTAGAAGTAGTAATATTAAAGAATAAGTACTTTTTCTTTGGAAAGAAAAAAAGAAGTTAGAAATTTATCAAACTACTCATTTCTCCACCACTCAAGCTTAATGCCTGATAATTAAAAAAAAAAAAATCTTTGTAATTCTCAAATATAACAAAAGTTTATAAGAAGTAAAGATCACAGAATAACAAACAAACAGTGAGGTCATGACTAATAATAACTACTTTTTAAAAAAAAATTTTAAACAATTCCAATCTGACAGATTTAGATGGTGAACACCAGGAGAAAAGATACAGTATGCAGCAGGCACATGTGTGCACACACATACACATGCACAACTATTTAAGTAAAAAAGTGGCTTAGTAGAATAAGTACTGAAGAAATGCAGTTATCTACTATGCCACAGGACAGTTACTTTCTACCACCTTTAGGATTTATTGTATTTAAAATATGCTATTAATATTTTACAACATTTTGTGAAGAATGCTTTTAAAGGGGGGATAAGATTACCTCTCAAGACACATTTAGGAAATAGTCATTTCTCTGGTATTCATTTGACGTTTAATGGGGATAAAAACTGAACACAAATAGGCTGAGCAAAAATAAAACATTCTTTGGCTTAATATCAAAATTGTCAAAGAAAAATAGAGACTTAACATTTAAATTCCATACCTTAGGTATACTTGGTCTTCCTAGTTTTCTTTAAAAGCTCATTATTTAGCTAAAGAAATTACTTGAAAAGATCAAAGCACATAAAAGCTATTAGGTGCTAGGTAAAGTCTCTTCACAATCTAAATGATACAGAGTGATTTAATGTATGAAAAATAATTTTTAAAAATTAAAAACAAAAAGCTATTAGGTGGCTAGTCTGCACCTAGAATATTCATTTGGAAAAATTATTTATTTAGAAAATTACTTCTACTGGACACTAACAAATTATCTAGCAATGAGAAGGATTTTTATACTCATATCCCATCCTGATCAATATATATAAAATACCACGACCAGTCATTAGGTTAAAAACTTAAGGAATAAAACAAATGAAAAAGATCATTCTTACTTTTCTTCTGGTACCAAAAAAAAAAAAAAAAAACAAAAAAACACAAAAAAAACAAAAAACAAAGACAATACAAGTTTTAAAAGCTTGAATGTTACAAAGAGTTCTTACATAAGAACTCTCTATATAAGTCTATAAGCTCTATATATGTCTTATAAGCTCTATAAGTCTAAGTCAAATTCTAAAATCTTTAAATATTATGTCCCCAAAACAACTAATCTAGAACTAAGATTCAGATGTCAACTAATACTTCAGTGTGATTAAAAGAAAAAAAAAAAAGGCAACTGACACATCTAGGAAGCTTCTAAATTAATAATTTATAAAATAACAACAAACTTTCAGGGAAATGAGTTTCCCAATGTTAAAGACAGGTATTTAAGTTAATAAAAAAAATATCTGGACAAATAATACTAATTGTTTATTTAAATATGAAAGCCACACAATACATGGCTTTAAAGCCCCTCCCCTAAACAAAAAATACTTAAGTCCTCACCTACTTCTGAGCCTCCAGATGTGTAAATCTTGCCTTCTGCAGCACAGGCAGCAAGGCTGTCTCGAGGTGTTGGAGGGCCCAGTTTGGAATACCAGCTATCCTTTACCACATTATAGCAATCCATTCGTTTTATGGGAAAAAGCTGAGAGCCACCTAAAATGTATACTACATTGTCCCAAAACACACAGGCTGCATCTCTTCGTTTTTCAAAGGGGCAGCGGATATCTGTCCAACTATAATCCTGTAATGGGAAAGAATAGAAGGCTTTTAGTAAGGGAAAAACTACACCTGAGAGGACAAAGATATAACTGAGAAAATACAAACTGTAAGAATGTATTCATTTACTATTGTAGAATACACACACAAATGCATGACTTGAGACTATTAACCACCTTACTTTTTTTTTATTTTTTAGGAGAGATTTTTGCCATAGGGTGGGTATGCTCTCCAGAGACAGAGATGGAAAGCAAGAAACCACCCCACAGTGGGATGGCAACACCAAAGTCCCTTCTCCTCCATTCTCCTCTAGGGATTTTGGGCATGCATGCACACATGCCAGGCTTGAGTTTTAAACCACTGGATCCAGGACTTGAACCATGGTCAATGACGTGGGAGTCCAGCAACATAACCATTATGCCATCTGCTGGTTCCTAGACTATTAACCAACTTATTCCTAAGTGATTTCTTCAGAATATTGGTTAGTTAAGGAAGAGGGTAAGAAAGCACATAACTGTGTTGGGTCTTTTCTGACTCTAAAATGTATTTACACTTATCACCATCACTCTGTCTTCTACTTCTGTTAGGAAAAATTTAAAAACATTTAATTTTTTTAAAAAAGTTGCTTTTCAAATATAAATATCTCCACTTTCTTCCTGCCAGATGTACAAGGTAAAAGAAAGTCAATGGATAGTATGAAGCCCAAACTGTCACTAACCTACTGACATCTAAAGTTAGAATGCATTTTGTAAATCTCTGTGAACTATTAACTTTCTGTAAATATTCAGTTGAGC